CCTGCCGTCCTTCACTCCCCCCCCTCCTCTTTCCGCCCCTCAGACCAGGAGAGGCGTCAAGGAAAAGCCCACGTACGCGCTGAGCAGCAGTGACGAGGAGGATCAGGCAAAGGAGATCGGCGTCACTTACAAATCGACGAGGTCGGCGGTAAGGACTGGGCAGGGCTGTGATCCAGGGGTGCCACACCACGCACCAGGCTAGACCAGGCTAGAGAGCGTCTTCCTCCCCGAGTCAGCTCGGTCCTGGGTTGTTTGTTTGGTTTTTTTTTCCTGTAGAGGCACTTCCCTGCCGCTTCACTCGTAATGCTCAAGCGCCTCATGCCAGGTTTATTCTCCTGATACTCTCTGCATCCTCAGGAGGCCATCTGAGGTTGGTCTTTACCCCTTAAATGCGGGAACTAAAACTCCAAGACGTCACTGGACGTGTCCAGCATCACACACAGTTTTCACTAAAAGAGGCGCTTGAACGAGGTTTGCCCCAGTCTTGGGTCCACGTTTTAAGGTTTTGAACCGCTATCCTTCTCAAAAGAATTTTCCGGGTGATTTATAAAGGACTCTTACCTTTGTGCACATAACTAGTGATGGGGTAACAGAGTTATAGAGAGAGGTATTGTTTTCTTGGGAGTGACAGGTGGGGGTCCTGGTAATCCGGTGCCCTAGTTGCACGAGAACAGTACGGTGGAAATAGAGAAAAACTCTAGAAATCCCAAGGAGTTCACTGGAGATGTTTACGTTCCTTCTCCTTCTTCCATAAGCAAGTCGGTTTTGCTGCCAAAGGGGGCAGCATGTTGTCAGCGCTGCTTGCTGTAGGAGAACAGGAATGGTGCAGGAGGAAATGACAGCTTTGGCGCTCCAGGAGCTTTTGGCACATAAATTGGATTCAGTTTTAACTGGGACTGGTTGAAATTGTTCTTCAGTTCCTGTGCAGCTGTTCCTGAAGATCTGACAAAACCAGGAATAGGTGTCTATTTAGTGCATTCCAGAGGAGTTTAAACTAGATCATTGCATTAACTAAAACTGACTGTAAGCCACCCACAGCTAGGTTAAGAATCCAGCCATGACATCCTGTGTGTGGGCTGGATGGTCTCTCGATTAGAGCGTTAGACATGGCACATCCGAGTTCAGTTTCCAACTAAGCCAAAGCTAAGCTTGAAGGAGCAAAATGAGGACAGGTGTTTCCCCTGCTTAGGAGCCATCAGTAATTAGCATTCTGGCCTCTGCAAAAACGAGGCTGGATATGAGTGATCTGGCCCATGGGAGAGTTTCTCAGGCAGGTGCTAAGGGAAGGTGGAAACTGGTGGAAGGTAAAGTGGGCCATGTCCAGGGCTTGGTTACTTCTTGCTCTGAGACTGACCCTCTAAGGAGCTCTTTGTCCTTTTACAAGTTTTCTGTTCACTGTTGTCACGTGTACTTCTTGCTTTTCAGAAACCTGTTGGCCCAGAAGACATGGGGGCCACCGCAGTGTATGAACTGGACACAGAGAAGGAGAAAGATGCCCAGGCCATCTTCGAGCGCAGCCAGAAAATCCAGGAGGTCAGTTAGCATTGCTCTGTAACAGCCAGTGCTCTGCGGCAGGTGTGTGCGTGCTTTATTCATCCCCTTCTCCCGCATGTCAAAAAGTGTTTGAGTCTTGTGGAACTGCTGTGCAGCTCCAGGGCATGTGAGGTGTCTTTGGAAGAAGCAGGTGGTGAGATGGAGCCGCTCAAGTTTAATAGATCTGCAAGTCCGGTCGGTTTGGCACTTAGAGTCCGGCTTGTTTCAGAGGATCAGTGTCTAAGGGAGGTTTGCACCAGGAGGCAAACCAGGACAGAAGTGCCTGGAACAAGAGATGTGTGCATTGTGGCTGGAGTGAAAAAGCACGGACAGCTGCAGTAGGGAGCCAGGCCTCTGCCATCTCCAGTCTCAGGAGCAGCAAGAATTCTTGAAACATGAGCATGAGGAAATCTTCCTCGCCTGGACATTTGAGAGGTGAAGAGTGTTTCCCTTTTAAATAGGGGAGCTTTCTGACTTTACTGGCCTCTTGATGCTAAGGAAGGCAGGGCTGGGAAAAGAGACTGGGGACAGAGAGGTGAAAGCTCATCTGTGACATGAAGCTCTCTTCTTCTGAGTCACTTGACCCTTAATCACCTTTCTTTCCCCTTCCTAGGAGCTGAGAGGGAAGGAGGACGATAAAATCTACCGTGGTATTAACAACTATCAGAAGTACGTGAAGCCCAAGGACACATCAATGGGAAATGCCTCTTCGGGAATGGTCAGGTAGGTTGGGATGAGCCTCAGAGAAGTGGGACCCACAGAGGAGCTCAGGCACCATCCCGAAAGGCACCTTTTGGGGCTTGAACTCTGCTGTTATTACCGCTTGGTTCTATCTAACGAGTCCGGTGTCTGGTTCTGACCAGGCCCCCAGGGGCCTTCTCCACTGCAGCTGCGCACCTGGCCTGAGCCTTCTCCCACCCTTTCAGAAAAGGACCCATCCGTGCGCCAGAGCACTTGCGGGCCACAGTGCGATGGGACTACCAGCCTGACATCTGCAAAGACTACAAGGAAACTGGGTTCTGCGGCTTTGGAGGTGAGTGGATCTTGCCCGCAGCTGACCACGTGCTACACCAGATGCGCAAAAGGAATGAGCGCCCAGCCTGTGATCTTAGTGCCATGTTTGTGGCACTAAGATGTTCCGTTACTGATTCATGGGCACTTGAGCTTGCTTGCAGATGCTGTTGCAAAGTTGTTTCATGTATGGTCTTGGTATTTGCATTGGCTTTTCTGCTGCAGCTTGTGGCTCTCTTCTCATGTGTATAAATCCTGGAGCTGCTGCTGTGGTGTACAGAGCACGATGCTTGGGGCCTTTAAATGCTGAGGGGGAACTGCTTGGCACTGCACTGCAGCTGAAGTGGGTGGGGAAGCAGTCAGGTTTCACCTTGTGTTGGCCAAAGCTTCGGCCGCCCCTAAATGAGGTGACCTGTTAACAGCTAGGCAACAGAGCTAGCTGAAAGAGGAAAAGAGCGTTAACTCTTCTTTCTTGGTATTGCTCAGACAGCTGCAAATTCCTCCATGATCGTTCAGACTACAAACATGGCTGGCAGATTGAACGGGAATTGGATGAAGGCCGCTACGGAGTCAATGGTACGACACCAGCCCTCTTCTCTCTCTGAGCTAATATGGGGTGAGGCTACAAGGTCCTGCCGTCTCTCGTGTTCTAGAGTGAACGTGACTTAGGGATACTGGGTTGAGAAGAAGGAAACGGGTCCTTTGCTACCTTGAACTGCATGGGCCATTGATGAATTAGACAGAAAAGACTCCTTGTCCCACAAATATGTGGAACTCCCTGCCGCAGGATTACCTAAGCGCCAGTAACCACAAATCTGCTGCTTTCAGATAACCACTGACTGCCACCAGGGTGAATTCTTTGCTCTTCCTCTCTTTGAGGATAGCACCTCATTGGATTGTGACCATCTCCTGCCTTCCAGCTACGCAGGAGCTGAGGTGCTTTCATGGTGTGTCACAGTATTATTTTTCGCTCAGTGTCCATGGCTGCAGCTGAGCATTGCTCGTGAACCTCTTGTGCAGTTGGGGGAAAAGAGGTGTTTGCCATTCAGTTGGAGCCAAAGAGTTTGAGAGCAGCTGGTTTTGGAAAAAAATCTAAAAAAAAAAATAGAAGGGGGCTGGAGGAAATGTCTGTTTATAGCAGCAAGTAGGCGAGGGAGAAAGGAATTTGCTCTTGCGAGATGAGCAACAAGCACAATGGCTCATTAGACATAATTATATCTCAGTCCCACGCGTGTTACAGACATCAGTGACACCCAGATGCCAGAGCTCTATTGTTTCCAGCAGAAATTCAATCCCACGTGCTGTTCTCTCTGTGTTTAATATTTCGTGCCCCACACATGGGCTGGCCTGGCTGCCTCTACTGTTGTTCCAGTCTGGTTAACTTTATCTTGTGCAGATGAGGAAAACTATGAGGTGAGCAGTGATGAGGAGGATATGCCCTTCAAATGTTTCATCTGCAGAAGTTCCTTCAAGAACCCCGTGGTCACCAAGTAAGTGGTTGTTTTGGCATGGGGAACCAAGGGTCTGCTGTGGATTGAGTCTGCTGGTCACTCGGTGTCTAGGCAAATAGAGCCAATACTCAAAGGCTGGTGGGTGGAACCTGCTCACTGTCTGGCCTGGCTTTTCTGGTAGATGAAGTCTTGGTCCCTGAGATCCAGGGAGTCTCATAACTGCATCTGTAGCATCTCCTGGGAAGGGATCTTCAAGCCTTTGTTGTCCAGGGGCCTGTAGGCTTCCACAGATGGTGCTTTATTTCATCATATTTCTCCTTAACTTTGAGATCTTGTTCTTGTGCTTCCTTTGTTCCTCCTAATCACTGAATGTGACGCTGCAAAGCATGAGCAGAGAATGAAAGCATGGGGAAGCAAAGAGCTCACCTAGAATAAGGAGCAGGCTGGAGACAGAGCGGGCGTCTTACGTGATGTCCTGCCTGCCAAACCTTTCCCACACTGCTCTCTGTTTTGTTGGGTACCTGGTATCTGCACACACCCCACACCCCCCCCCCACCAAGAGAACGGTGCCACAATCTACCAGACGCAGCACTTGGATCTGTGGTTTCTCTAGAAGAGTTCACTGAGGGCTCTGTGCAATCCATCCACATCAGCCAAGGGATGCTGAAATACCGTTCACAGGGACAGTGGCAGCTTCTGCTGCAGAGGAAGCCTTGCATAAGTTCACTTTTGCACCCTGACAGGATCGCTAGTCATTCATAGTCCTAGATGCAGTGATTTTTTTTTTTTCTGGTGATTTGCAACAGCATCTGTCTCTTCTTGTAGGTGTAGGCACTACTTCTGTGAGAGCTGTGCCCTCCAACACTATCGCAAATCCCAACGCTGCTACGTGTGCGACAAGCAAACCAATGGTGTCTTCAACCCAGCAAAAGGTAACCCTCTCCTGTGGGAGAGAAGGCTTTCCATAGGAGCACCTGGAGCAGAAATGGTGCCAGCTCCTGACGTCCGTATCCTCTTGATGTGTTCAGCCTAGCCCTAGGCTGGGGATCACAGCTTTTGGTCACAGGCAGAGCTTTTAGTGCCTGGAGACCTTTAATCATGGCCTGGCAGGTTTTGGAAGTGTAAAATGGGTGTCTGTGCTTGCCCAGATGGGAAATTTTGGGAGAATCCCTTTTAGCAAGGGTAGAGGGAATGTGCTGGTGGAGTGGAAGCAGTAGCTTATGTGGATACTCTAGTTGACAGGTCAGTTATGTACTGAAAGACTGACTGCAGTAGCTGATGCTGTGGACTCAGTAGCTCCCAGCAGAACCTTTGGGCAGCTACCAGAAGTTATGTGCCTTGGTTTTTGCAACGATGGGTATTTACAGATCCTAAACAGCTTGCTTTGCTGCTAGCATATCCTTCTCTACCTGGAATCTCACCCCTGCTCTTCCTCTTTTTCAGAGCTCATGGCAAAACTGGAAAAGCACAAGGATGAGGAGGAATCGGATCATTCAGACCACACAGATGATCCATAATAGCAAAGCACCCCGTTTTGTATCTAGCTGAATAAAAATTCATGAAAAAAATGCACTGATTGCAGCAGTTGCCTCAGGCTCAGCAGCTGTAGCCAGTGCTTGTTTATCCAACCAGCAGTTACTAGAACAGTGTCCTGACTGAAGCTGGACTCTGTTTACTGCTCCACAAAGGCACAAGACTGAAAAGGTAAGTTGGACTCCAAGTCGCATCTGAGTACCAACTGCCTGCTACCAGCAGGCAGCTGCCAGCAGAACCCAAGCAGTTGCCTACATGAATACAGCAGTAGTTCTGGGGAAGGAGGTGTCTGAAGATTGCATTCATTCAGTTACTTCATAGCCCTTTTTTTTTTCTCCCCCCTTAACCCAGGTGCTGCTGTCGCTCCCAGCTTTGCACTTACCCTGCGTGCTTCCTGCCGCTAGCTATGGAAGCATAAAGCTGCCTCTAGCAAAGGGAGCCATCTCTACCCTGTAACTTAAATCCATGATCTTTAAGCCTGTAGTGAGCTGAAAGCATGGTAATGGAAGAGAAATATTAGCTTGCATTAAGTTCCTTCTTCACCCTAGAAATGCTAACTCATTAGAAAGCACCCTAAACTTCTGGGGATATTTGTTATTTATTACAGCTTAAAGGAGTGTATTGCCTCCTGTCGTTTTTGCCTACCTCTTTGTTCGTAGGAGAATTCAGGAGTTAAGTCAAGCAGGTTTTCAGTGGGTGATGCCTCTGTGGAGTCATCCCTCCAGTGTGAGGAAACCATCCTCTACTGTATGTCACTAACTCAGCCCTAAGGCTTGCCTGCTGTGAGTGGTGCTGCGCTTTAGCGAGGTTGCTTGCTTTTAAGTACTAGTGAGCCGGTCCCTGTCCAGGCTTGTGGGAAAGAGATATGGATTTTGATAAGCTGCAGCCTTTAAAAAGAGGTTAGGAAATAAAGCTATATTTACTATAACTAAATCGAGAACCCCAAGAAATGCAAAATAATGCCAAAAAAACTGGTCCTAGGGAGGAAGTCCTGTCCCATGTGGTGTAGCCTGTCCTTATAATGACCCCTGCTTTGGGAGAATGAGCACATTCTTTTGCCTTGACCCAAACACTGAAGCTTTCAGAAAAGATTAACAGAAGCTGTTTGCAGCTTCTTGCTTTAGTTGAAAGAAACACTTCTTCAGAGCATATGAAGGCAGTTCAACTATACTGTTGTAAGCAGCTGGGGTGAACTACAGGCAGCAGCATATAAAGCTTCTGAGTTATAGGCTAATGTCATCCAGCCTTGCCAGCTGAGGTGCAAGGAGCAGCCATTTAAGTAAGGAAATTAGAAGAGAATAAGCTTGCATAACCAGCTTTAACATCTGCATCATCATCATCATTATTATTACTGCGATCTACTCCATCCTTTAGGAACAGCAGACATTTTTAAAAAAAACTTCAGAAATATTTTATTTGTTTTGGCAAAAAACTAGAGTAACAAACTTTATCTGGGTTCAAGTACAGCTTATAAACACAAGAAGGACCTGTTGCCAGCACCACTACTCCCATCGACCACACATACAGGACTGGATTCTCAGTGCTTCATGAAAGAGTAGAAAGATCTCCAGCACCCATGGTCCTTGGAAAGGTCAAACTAAGAACCTTGAACACGCCTCCAAAAAACATACCATGGAATGGAGGAGAGCTGCTACAGCAGCAGGGCAAAGTCACACAAGCATGAATCAAGGGGAGCCACATGAGAGGCAAGCAGAGGACTTTTAACCTGCCGTTCAGTCAGGGAAGGTGAAACAGCAAGACTTACAAAAAATTCTGCACAGACTGTCCAAAGAGCAGTTGTGAGCAAGAGGATTTAGCATAAACTCAACTTACTTTTCCTCTATGCCAAGGTAGGTCACCGAGAACAAGCTGGTATGAGTGCTTCAGGCTGTGAAACCAGCCCAGCTCGCAGGACGCTGAACTAGACATGAGCTGCGGGGGAAGAGGAGCTGGTACATTGCACAAAATTACTCACTCTGGTGAGGAGGAGAGGCTGGAATGCCCTGTCTGACCTGGAGTTCAGTATGCTCAGCCTCAAGTAAGAGGAGTCTCTTCAAAAGCTCTCTCCAGAACTGGAAGAGAAGAATCCAGTGCTGCAGAGGAATGCCCTATGCGGTGAACATGCCAAGAACAGAACTGGGTAGTCGTCTACCTCCCATCACAAAGCAGTGACTACATTTAATAATATATTCC